GCCAACTGGAAGGAAAACCCTTCCCAGTTGACGAGGTACATGTATGTCAGGCTTGGGTTACTTACTGGTGGGACAAGAGGTAGTAACTAGAGTCTGAATCGATGAAGGAACACCCTTCTGAGAATTGAGAGAGTAGAGTATTAGTGTGAATTCAGTGCGGCACAGAGATGTCTCGATGAGGCTTACACTGATCTTCCAGCAGCTGTATAGCCGGGGCAACTAACCTCTGGAACACAGATAGTTAGGGAGATAACACGTCAAGTTAACAGGCGGTTGAACTAGTCGTAAGGTGATTTGTGGAGGCGTAATAGGATCGTAGAAGAGTCATGAAGGGGAGGCGTGAAGTTGAGGACAGATTCAGGAGCTTGAGAGAGCTAGGTATAGATCAAGGAGTAGTCTTCAGGTCAAAGCCTTCTATCCAGGTAGTGAAAACCACAAGCTTTAAGCTAATAGTTGACTAGTGCTGGTCTAGTCGGCTAGGTAGGCTTGATACTAAGTTCGATGTAGTAGTAGCAGTTTCAGGTTTCTGTAATTGTCTGAGGAAGGAAAGGAAAAGGGAATAACAGCCAGTGACTCTCTTAAATACTATTAGAGGTCACCGGCTGATTTGTGGTAATTTTATTTGTTGGGGTTGACAAATAGTTTGGAAAGGTAGATATTTCTTTCAACGATTGGGGATCAGGACGTGTCGCGTCACGTTAGTTTTAGTTGTGCGGCAGCATTATTCAATATGTAATGTTTATTCATTCCTTGTGTGCTAGGGCTTTATTTCTTTTTATTTCTTTTTATTTATTCTTCTTCAATTCTTGTGCGGGGGTTAGGATTACTTAACCCCTGACATTTGCCACCCCTAAAAAAGGGTGAATCCTTCCTAGATGAACTTATTGTCTCTTATCCATCCTATATTGTCTAAGTAATTTCTGGTTTTCAGGTATTTCTTTCTCTGTTAGCCATTCATCTTCTTTGCTCCCACTATATCTCACTAGGTATTGTATAATGTCTATATTATTCTTTCTTATTTTTCTGTGTTGCAATATATTTTTTATCTTAATTGTTTCATCTTGTATTACGGGTAATTGTTTCTGTTGATTATTCTGGACTTCTCTGAGTGGAAATTTACTTTTATCTTTACCTTCTTATGGTTTAATTAGGCTTACTGGGAAAGTATGGTGTTTCTTTTCTAGTTCTCCTGTCAGGTACACTTCTACTGCATTCTTACCATGTACATTTTTTATCTCAAATGGTCCCACAAAGGAATCTCTCAACTTCTTAGGTCCACTCAAGTTTGTGAAATTAAAGGTTGAAATCAGCACTAGGTCTCCTATTTTGAATTGGTTTTCCTTATGGGTCTTATCCCATCTGGTTTTGTTATATTCTACTACATTTTTAACACATTCTGCTGCAAATCTCTCTGCTTTAGTCATCATTCTGTGAAAAGTTTCTGAATTTGGGTGTATATTAATTGTTTTACTCATTAGTATGTCTCTAGGAAACCATGGTGTCCACCCTCTTTCTAATTCAAAGGGTGTTTTGTTAGTAGTGCTGTGCTTGCTAGAGTTGTATGCAAATTCTAAGGCTGGTAATAAAGTTACCCTGTCATGTGTAAAATTGTCTTTATCTTTAAATGTTAGTCCAAATGCACAATACCTTCTAATCATGTCTTCTAATGTTTGTATCATTCTTTCTGCTAATCCATCTGTCTGAGGATGATAAGCTGTTGAGAATTTTAGTCTAGTTCCGCATATATCATATAGATTAGTCCAAAATGCTGAGGTAAATTTTGGGTCTCTGTCTGAGATTTTATATCTAGGGAAACCTACATCACAAATTATGGTATTCCAGAATAGTAAACCTGTGTCCATTGCGGTGTCTTCTTTATGACATGCCAGGAATCTGCCTCTTTTGGAGAATCTATCCACTATTACTAATACTGCATTATAGTTATTAGGTCCTCCTGCTGGGAGTCCTGTAACAAAGTCAATATTAATTACACTCCATCTTTCACTTGGTTCTTCTATTTCTTGCATTAGACCAAATCTTTTACCTGTGGCTTTGTTAGCTTTCTGACATCTATCACATGTCTCACAGTACTCTTTTGTTTCTTTAATGTAATTTGGCCACCATGCTACTTGCCTGATTCTCTCCAGTGTCCTATCAAATGAAAAATGTCCTGCTGTAATGTTTTCATGAAATTGTTTCAGGAATAAATTAAGGGCCTTGATAAAAAAACACGGTTTTTCCGCGTTTACACACGGTTTTGCTGTGGCACAGTGCACGCGGTTTCCGCGTTTAAACACGGTTTTGTATATAATTTTTTACCGCTTGTTTTTCGAGTTTTTTTGAATTGTTAAAGTTGTTTCCTACACTTTAAAAGGTGTAGAATTTAATGGTAAAAACCATTTTCCATAAAAATGAATTTTGATTATTAATTATTTTTTTTTCACTCATCCAAGTATATTAAATCCAGCAATTTGTACAAAAAAAGTTCAAAGGTTTACCCTAAACCCTTCAATTTACAACAAAAAGATCAGAGGTTCTCACTAAACTCTTCCAAACAACAAAATTCAGCAATTCCCTTTCAGCCCCCCAACACCAGCATGGCTGATGCACTTGGGCTCAGTGTCCAGCTCATGTCACAGCACGAGTCAAAAACACTGGACATGAAGGCCCCCAGCCCACATTGAATTATGCAAGCCAGTGGGGGGCCAGCGCGTTAATGACCAAACTGCACAAGTGTGACAGCGGGACACAGGAGGGGCTTCACCACGGAAAGTCAAGTGCCCCACCGCCAACACCACCAACTCAACCTATACCTCTATTTATAATTGGAGCGAGTCCATTATCGTGCCCTCGCCTCACCTCTCCCCAGACGGACTCACCGGCCCTTCGCTCGATGCTCAAAGGTTCAGACAGGCAAAGCAGGAATGAAGCCTTGACCCCTCCAAACCCTTCTCTACCGTTACAAAAAACAAGCCAAGTTCATCAAGTGACCTCGCCATCAATTCAGCCCATCCGACCCAAACCGCACCTAAACAGTTCATATCGAACTCCGGCGCTATGACGACCCTTTATCTCATGTGTACAATACGAGCATCCCCGCAATCAAACTCACGCCTTACCAACTGTTCCCTTGACTCACGTCTCAAACATCCAGGACGGCCCGCCATGACCCGAGCCAAACTCACCCAACACACAACCAATAATTCCCCTGAACTGGAGACTCATCAATACCGCGCTCACCAAACCAGGTCAAGTACGACGGGGCAAAATTACGTGAGCCATTCAATTGAGACTCGATAGCCCTGGCGAAACGCAACCAACCCCACTTGCCCAGGCAGCTCACCATTGTCGATACCCACCCTCCAGGCTGTCAACCATACCACTCGGCCCTACCAACACCCCAATCAACCACACGACAGACCTTTATCTTATGCCACAACCCCATCACGCACTCACAATCTGGTCAACCACTCTATTACTACTTAAAGCACATGAGGATACACCCCTCATTCTAGATCACCCACGACACAAACATCAATCAGCAACACGAGCCAGCCCCATCACCTGTTCCCATTTTAACCCACGAATCTCAACAACCCCACATTTATCCCCAACAACTTTTCCTCATGTTAGTCCATTTGCCCAAGGCTACAATACCATTCCGTTACGTCCATAAAGCTAATTGATAATTATGTTCATTGTCTTAGCATAATATGACTGCCGTGCGTTCCCCAAACCATCCTGCGACATTCAATGGCCATTTTCAACCAATCTCCGAGGTGAGTACTTCTTGACAAGACATTCAACCAACGCTAATTAGTTTCTTCCAGTCTGTTGCCGAATCGGTCCGAGCAAATCAGTACGGTTATGTCAAGACTCCTAGCTTCATCCAATGCGCCGGCAGCAATGGTGATAAAAACGAGGACTTCGAGGTCGAGCTCGTGACGAATACAGCATTAACAAACACCCTCAATACCGACTCCATATATGCCATTAGTGGAAAGATCATTGCATTGAACAATGGTTCCACGCCAATGCTTTCATATTTCCAAGACACCGTTGTTCGTATAGGAGCTTCCAGCCCTGACCAACCTGACTTTTCCAACAAGACAATTGTCACCAGTCTCGGAATGGTAACCTCCCGTTGCGAAGTGGCCAATGGAGCTTCCGACTCCGGCAGCCAGTTGGAAGTCATTGTTGCCCATTGTGACTGGGATGGCGAAGTAAGCAATATTTGCCATTGTTCATCTCATTCCCATTTATTCATTATTCCTATATACAGGAACGAATTCATAGACGATTCAACATCAAGTACATTGTGCCTGGCAGTAAAAACCTCGTCAAAACACACACCTTATACCAAGCAGGACGCGAAGTTAACATCATCGGTAGATTGGTCGACTTTGATATTGAAGATCATATGGCAATAGTTGTTGTAAGCCATCAGTCAACACTAACGAGCTCATAAGTTAACACTCTTCCTAATCATCATAGGTGTCTTCTGTATCCATCACTTCTGGCCACCAAATTGGGCGACCCATTCCTGCCATTCATGGACAAGCTACGACCAGCTCAATCACCGGAAGAAAGTTGTACGTGGCATACCTTGTTCGCATTCTTCTTGGAGCAAATACTCATGTTGAGACCCACTTTACATCGCCTCAGTACAAGTTTTTCGGCTAAGATGAAAGGCTCACCTAACAATTCGCCTCCGACTGAAATATCAAAAACAACCGTGCCAAACGCAAAGGCTTCATCTCAACCTGACCAACCCAACCCACAAAGTACTCCCTCTCGCCCCGGCCTCCTCAACAAAGGAAAGGCAAGAGCTCTCGATGCTCCTGTTAGTCATGATGAAGAGGCGACGGAAGATGAAACCGAATCAGACAGCGCACCCGAGCCCGAAACTACCCCGAACCCCAAAATCAAGCGTGGCCGCCCTCGCAAGAGCATCATTCAAGATGCTGCTAAACGTATGAAAAAGTACTGAGGGCGAGCACTTCCCCACAATCCCTCGCGATCAACATCCCTTACCTCATCAAGCCTTGTATCGACTAGGGAATTAACGATCCGGGCGCAGTTTATTTCCATCTCTCCTCTCCTTATCATGTTCTTCTACGCACCATCACCCTCATTGTACTTCGCCCCAATGCCTCTGTAATCCTCCTTTGGATGTGAAGGAAGCCCGAGTGGTCATTGTATGATCAACACACTCCTGTCTCACGATATCCACAACATCTCCTGACATGTAATCCGATTTGTTTGAGGTTCAACTACAAATGTAATGGCTGAGGGACCTACCAAACAGCCTCACATGAACTTCTGCCGATAGAATTCAGGTAAGTCCACCTATTAAGTGAAAAGACTTTGCACCAAGGTTGAATTTCAGATAACCAACTGGATCACCAATGACACATTGCATGTGATTTAACTTGGTTTTGATACCACATGAAATTAACGTATCAAAAGGTATCATGCAAAATAAGCAACAATAATTATGAGATATTGACTCAAGCTTGCAGGCGAAGTTTTTTCCCATCTCCCGGATTGATGATTGCAACGTAGTTTGGTGCCCGACCGTACGGTATCATACATTATCAAAGGCAACGATAGGGCACCACACAATGCAAATTTAATGAATAAGGAGAGCAGTTTCGTTGCCAACATGATCTATCTACCATTGTAAACAAATTGGGTAAGCCCAAAACGTTGATCGCCTTCAGGCCAGCGACGATCCCCCGGCCTAAGAACGGAGGCACATGGGCGACGCTGCCGTGCTTCCTGACCGAGCCTCCGACGGCAACCTCTATAATTTTTTCAAACGTGAGGACATGAGCTCAATCAGGATTATGTCCAAGGGAGAGCGCTTGGCTCTGTACCTCGGTCGGATCATGCGCTCGAATAGGTTCAGGAGAGATGATATGGACTTACGTGCTAATGGTTCACGACTAAGCTGGGCCGAGTGATTTTATAAGCATTAAGGGTTACTTTGACCTTCCGGTAAGCATCAAGATGCCGATGATGACGACCATTATCACCGATGTCGAAAGGGATGGGAGGAAGGGGAGGCGAAAACCGGTTCAGATGCGCTAAAATTCGGGAGGATAATCTCGGTGGCCGGTATGAAAACAGTGCCAAGCGACTGACACTCCTCCCACATGGCAAACCGGTAGCTTGATCGCCGATCCTATTTTGAGCGGTATGTAATTGGGTAGTTCATCGTTCAAAGTTATCATCTCCTCGAGGTTTCGCTTGGTTTTGCTATATGTCCTAGGACTAAGATGAATTGGATTGCGATTCATAGGCATAGCTCACATCGCGATTCAGTCGCCTTAAATCTCCTATCTTTCTGGATGAGATTGACCCATTCGCAATGTCAAGGACTGCCAGCGAGGCCAGCACCAGCTCTTTAACGAACGCCGTTCTTCGAAACTTTAACGGTTTTCTTGACTTTGTTTTGGAGTTTTGGCTTGCAACTCGGCTGAGCTGCAACAACCGCTTGAACCACAAATCGCAGTGTCTGGTCTGGATTTGTCGACCTCCTAACGGCTGCGGTGCTACCCAATTGCAAAGCAAGTATTTATGTACATCAATTATTTACAAAATCTGCTGCCAAGTGGAGGTCAACCCATCAAATCTCGGACGGCTATCACTCGCCATACCTGCACCCAACCCTCCACTTACCATCATTAAATTGACGATCCACTCTAATCAACCCATCGCCTTCGTTTGACTTCCTCACCCTCGGTTCTCACCTCGCTTGATTCGTCATACTAAACAGGTCGTCAAGTTCAATTCTTATCTACTTCCGCTCCCGAAATTTTAACAGTCATCTCATCGGTCAGTCGTCCCACGCCCCGATTTGGTAAAACAACGAGCATCTTCCACCTCGACTCTCAACAAGGTAGACTCAACGACCCCCGTCTATCATTTCATCGGTCCGTTGTCAAACACCTTCGTCTTCATCGAATGCTGACAGCTCAGTGCCGACTCTTCCGCACCTTGCAGATCACAATCGACTATCTAGCCGAGTCCATTGGAGCAAAAGGCCAACCAGAAAACAGGGGCTAGTGAGTAGACAAACTACTACAAACTTCTAGATGCGACCCAATTACCCATTGTCATTAAATGGTTATATCCAAGCTGATTAGGACATCTCTTTCTGTTTGGAACTGGTAGCCCGATCTTGCAGAATAAGGCAGTTGCCCATCATTCTTGAGTGCTCCAGCCTTAAGTACCCAACGGTTGCCCTAGCAACGCTCGGTTTTCAGTTGTCGACAAAGGCCAACCATCGAAATTGACATTCACTTGGCAAAAACTATCTTCTGTATGCTCCCCTGCTTAGTTGTATTGTTATGTCGTACTACCGCTAATGCGCCTAGAAATTGCACCAGGCCGTAATCTTCATTACCACAGATCTTAGAGTCGATTCACCTGAAATCAATACACTCGTCCGCGACATCGTCCACGTATCATTTGATAACGGATTACTGTCGAGTTGTCTCCAAGCCGTCGATAATAGACAATTTGAGTTAAAGTCGAACGTTCACATTATTACCGGCAACCCCAATCTCCTCTACCTTTGCCCGCAGGTTCACTCCTTCTTCAAAGTGACATCTATATCACATTATCCCAGCCCAATAGCCAACTGGATACAAATCCCATTTCTGATTGAGTGTGATAGTAGGACACTTTTCGCGCCTTGAGGTTATGGGAAGTGTTCGGGAGGCCTACTTGGCGGCACGGAAAAGGAAAAACCGCTCAAAAAAGCATGCAGAGGAGAGGCGGGGTGAACTTTTATTCACACTCGACAATACCGAAAGGGCATCTTACAACTGTTCACATCAACAAAACACTACCGTGCCCAATGAAGACTGTGCAAACTTAACGGTTCCCACCTCGGACTCCGAAGATACTGCGGAAGATAAGATTATTTGGTCATCAAAACGATACATCCCGCTCGAACTCTTTCCGCATATGCTTGGAGATGATCCAGACAGACCCCCAACGCAAGAAGAAATCAACTCCTGCGACTCAATAGCCAGAGGTTTCAAATTCTTCGACCATGGAAAGGTTGTTATACACGACAAATTAGATAAATCAAAAATAATAGCCCTCATCGAGTTCACCTCCTTTGATGATGCATCTTCTGCGGATCTTAAGGAAATTGCCACTGTCACAGACTTCTTGCACTCGATGAAGCGTTTTGTCAATGCTGTTGGGTCGGAGGCACGGTCCTGGGGAGGCAAAATGTTTGCAATAGGGTGGCGGAAGGCGATGGTTGCTTTCCAGCTTTTAGGGCTCTACCGGAACAAAGCAGCTATCACCCGACATCGAGAGGAGTACGATCAACTTATGCAACGCTCACCTGACACTTCAAGTATCCTTGGGAGGATGTTCCGGCGGGTTGCTAATGTGGCTTTCTCCGACAATCAAGAGCTCATGCAACAATACTCAATCCCATCGCTTGGGCATCCCGACTTCGACTTGCCGATTGGAGAAGACGATTGCGCTCCCAACCTCACGTTTACGGCCGGGGGATTCTTCAACCCTCCACACTGCGACACTCAAGACCTGTCAGAGTTTGCATTCGGCCTATTCCTACCTGTAAATAGCCATGACTGGTCGATCCCAACGTCTAGAACTCATTCGACCCTGTCTGGTGGAGCTTTTGTCTTTCCCGATTACAGGTGTGGTATCGATTTCTCTAAACACCACGGATTTGTCAAGCTGGTTTGGCGGGCGCGTGAGGTTCGACATGCCACTTTGCACTCGGAGGGTGATTCGCCTTATGAGCGGCTTGGGTTGTCTCTCCAGATCAATAAGAAAACTGCCACCACCTCTCAAGACACCAAAAGCGGTGCAATTTTCGAGCGGCCCGCTTATAAGGATATCCCAAAAGATCAACTCTACATTGGTAATCTCAAGACTTACGTTGAAGGCACGCACTAACCGAATTGTGTACATAGATCTCGACATTAATGGCTGATGCGTTAATCCGATCGTCAATGTTGCCAAAAACCGTAAATATCATCAGGTTCATTTAATAATCTGTTCTCATTTTGAATGAAATATTATATTACGGTTAGTTGAAACTTTCTGTCTGCTTACTCCTTTAAGTTTGGCTTTGGCAATGATTGTGAAATGACAACTCCATAAAATGTATAAATCTCTCCTATCGAATTGCATACTACTATAAATGTACTCCGCCTTGGGTGAGATATGTACAAATGACCATAATCAACACACATCAGTACAACGCTGGCAAGTTACAACGGGTCGTTTCATTGGATGTTGCAACCCGACTTAAAATCAATTTTTGGCATATATGAGGCAAACGCTCAATGATTAAAGTGTAAGTGCCTACCAGTATAATGTGACTAAACTTTCCCCTGATTGCTGTAATCGGCTAGGAAGAGTTGCAATGGCCCCGCCTACAGGTCGCTGTTACAAAAATGCGGTCGACCAGGTTCAATCAACTTGAACCGAACCAGCCTTGACACTCGCCTGAGTCCCAGATATGACCAGTTAGTTTGACATTGATGAGTGACAGTTTAGGCCTAGGATTATTTCTGTTTAAGCCCAAAAGGCTTAAAATGCCCTCATCGGTAGTTCTACAACCATTCTGAAACATCACATCTTCAATTTTGAAAAAAGATTCAACATAAACATCACCAGCTAATTTCCTCAAAGTCCGACATCCAACCTGCTAATAATGACGGATAATATCAACATAGGGTTTATGTTGTCTATACCAGTTGGACTATATGGAGTGGCACCTACCCTCGAAGGGATAGGTGAGCTGACATTTGGTGGAACTTGCAGTCTTGAAGAAAAAGTGTGTGCCTTTATATTTATGATTATCAACTGCTCACATGTTGTTTTTTGTTACAGTTTCAATCATTCGATCTGGACATGGGCCTTTATAATGTATACAAAATCCAACTTCCAAATCGAGTGGAGGATGAGGATCGTCTTAAACATGTATACCAATTCAATGGAAAAATAATCGGAACATTATTAGCACCCTGTTTGGAAGACCTTGGCTACGGCCTCAACTTGTTTATGGATTACGCGATTAGAGGCTCAATTACACACAATGACACACTTGGTACAGTTTGGGAGTTCAACCCACTCCTTGTTAAATTGGGTGACAGTGCTGGAGGTGAAACAAGGCAAAATGGTATGGATATTCGTGGCGTAGGAATAGTAAAGTCAATCGAAGAACACTGGGACTCGGCTAAGACAATGCGTATTAAAGACGAGATCCTTGTCAATCACCAACCTTCAGTGAGTTCATTGCTACAATACATCCATCGACCTAACTGACTTGTTCTCCAGGGGGCGTCATCATGTATTCAAATACGAATAGATAAGGGAATCAAGGACGATCACACTGGTAGTATTGGACAGATAATGGTTGGAGACAAAATCAAATTTTGTGGTCAATACCTTGGTGAAGATATTGAGACGGGAACTTTAATAATACTGGTAAGCCTTTGTGAATTTAAGTTCTTTGCAGTGACTGAACATACAGGCTGACTCAAGATGCATTCAGGTGGAATAATAACGATGAACGCTTTACGGAATAAGTTAATTCCTTCCTCTTCAAATGACTGGAACTTGAACTGGCTAAGTTGTCTAGGTGTCCATTCATTGTATCACCGGTATCAATTGTAATCTTACATGAAATTAAATGTTATCTAAGCGCACCAGCCTACAGGTCTATAATGTCAAGACTTATGTCCATGGAGCTCTTGCTCGCCCTTTGAAAGACCAATACAAGCCTAAACAATTAGCAAATCGAAGTCCTATACACCAAATTCGACATGATAAACTCCAAATCAAAGATCAACAACAGTACATCCCCCGACTTTGAGTCAAGGCTTCATAACGCTTCGGACTACTCAGTTCCCCACAGGCTTGGACGCTGCGATCACAAATGCGACTCATGTGGAGCGCTTCATTGGGCTGCCGAGGCGACGTTAGTTGACCGGTCGAAACCGACTAAATCGTACTCGATGTGTTGCCAGAAGAACAAAGTTACCTTGCCTGACTTTCATGAAAGCGCTCCAAAATATCCATCGATGTTACGGAGGCTCCTCACCGGGAAAGGGGAAGGTAAGAACCATTCTCAGCTCTTCGTTTGAGTGGATGCTAATGACGGTTTTTTCCAGAGGAAGTCAACTTCCAACAGTTTACACGTATGTATAACAACTCCATCTCCTTCACGTCACTCGGCGCGAGGATAGACCGTTCAGTCCAAGGACCAATGGGGGTGAATATATTCAAAATCTCGGGAGCTTTGTCGCATAGGATTTCGGGCCTGGAACCGGTTAACAATTCTCCAGGGTTTTCTCAAATTTACGTTGTTGGAAACAAAGGAATTGAAGAAGCGGAGTACAGGCTGAACAGCGCCCTTGGTCGGAGCAAGGAAACCATGAAAGGTGTTAAAATTAGACAAGGAACCATTCTATCACTGATTAACTTAATGGAGAAAATTAATCCCTACGCTAATATATTCCGCAATGCTCTCGAAGTACTCTCTAAAGCCAAAGCACAAACCATCAGTTTGCAAGGCGTACCCTCAGCGGGAGTGGACCCAAAACGTTACAACAATCCAACCGTGGATGAAGTAGGGGTTGTCGTCCAAGGCGATGGAGAAATCATAGGCGAACGTCAAATAATACTCCACCGGCGGGACGATGCGCTGGAGGAGATATCAGACATGCATTCTTCCTATTTTCCACTTCGGTACCCCCTCTTCTTTCCGTATGGCCAACAACAGTGGGATAATCTGTATGCAGCATGGACTGGCCGAGGTGAATTGTCGTTTCAAGTTGTGTATGTTTCAATGAATTTTTACTAATTCTTTGTTTATTGAAGTTAAGGACAGGCGTGTGGGTTCACTTGAATGGTTTGCTTATTTGCTCTTCAGGCGGAGAAAGAGATTCTCACCGATTTTGGCCGGTCGGTCACTTACACAAGAGTTACTGGTCGATATGTATCTTTGTGTCGAAAGAGGAAGGCTGTCATTTGTGACAAATAACCAAGGTAAACTGAAAGCCGGAAGTTATAATCGATTAGTCAATTCACTCGAGAACCAAGCACCTATAACTGGACGAAGTGTTATTTTACCATCATCCTTCATCGGTAGTCCTCGGTGCATGCAACAACTGTATCACGATGCGATGGCGATTTGCAGAAAGTTCGGGCCACCTTCACTATTCATAACAATGACCGCAAACCCAAACTGGCAGGAAATTCTCGACGAGATCCCGCCGGGGGAGAAGGCTTTTGATCATCCAACAATCGTGGCAAGGGTCTTTTACTTGAAGATGAAGGAGTTGATCAATGAAATTGTCCATATGGAACGATTTGGAAAAGTCCTTGCATATGTCTATACTGTTGAGTTTCAAAAAAGAGGGTTGCCTCATCTTCATTTGATGGTAACGCTAGACGAGGCTGACAGGCCAGTATCACCGGAGGAGATAGACAACATTGTTTCAGCTCAATTGCCTAACCCAACGACCTCACCACGATTGCATTCACTCGTGTCGGAGTTTATGCTGCATGGGCCGTGCAAGGGTCGACCGTGTTGGAATGGGAAGTCTTGCAAGCTTGGATTTCCTAAACCATTTGCCGAACGGACTGTCAATGTTGATGGTGCCTACCCCGTTTACAAGCGCTCTAACGATGGCCAAACTGTTGTGAAACACACCACTGTATTCAATAATGGCTCAGTTGTGCCGTATAACCCATATCTAACATTAAACTTCAACTGTCACATAAATGTTGAAGTTCCTGTTAACACGACTGCTATTAAGTATCTCTACAAATACATCACCAAGGGACATGATCGAATGGCTTTGTCGGTAGACTCAAAGGACGAAGTGAGATCATTTGTGGATGGCCGCTATATTAGTGCGGTTGAAGGTAGGCTAATGTCTCGTTGGTCATGTCAATTAGTCTTATTATTGGCTGATGCATGCCATCAGCTTCATGGCGTTTATTCAAGTTCCCTCTATCGGACCGCTTTCCACCGGTGACTCGTCTGGCAGTCCACGATGAAGATGAACAACTCGTGTATTTTGAGGGCGAGGACGGTCTTGCGGGTCAAATTGCAAGTGGAAAAGCAAATCGGACTACTTTGACTGGCTATTTTGAGTTAAACGCTGATAATGCACTAGGAGCTGATGATGTCCCGGCACGATCAATCTTTTATGAAGACATTCCGGCGTATTTTAGTTGGAATAAGGCTGACAAGCGTTGGATTCGGAGGAAGAAGAAGGCGGTAGCAGTCGGACGAGTGTTTTCAATATCCTACCTCGCCGGTGAAAGGTTTTACCTACGTGTCCTTCTGCTTCACCGGAAAGGAATGGTGTCGTTTGGGGATTTGAAGAACGTCAGCGGCAAAGTGTTCGAATCGTACCAGGATGCTTGCAACGAGTTAGGTCTTCTGTTCAATGATTTTCTTTATGACCAAGCGCTACACGAGGCGGCATCTGTCAGATCGGGCTATCAGCTTGCACAGATGTTTGCAATGATATGTGTCCACTCACCACCTTCTGATCCATTGGCGCTCTTCACGACTCATTTTCTCAGTTTTACGGATGATTGCTCTCGAGTTGATATGAAGAAACGCCATAGTCGGCAGTTAAACGAAGACGAGCGAAGAGTACTAGCAATATTCCGGTTGAAAACATTCGTTGAAGGGATGGGCACGGGCCTCGATTCTTGCGGACTGACTATAACAAAGAAAGAGAAACGACTACTTCGGGATATACAGGCCGAGCAGGAGGGCGGTGAAAATCCAAACGAGATTGCCACGAGGTTGTCACTCAATCAAGCCACTTTCAACAAATCTCAAACGCTCTTCTTTCATAAAGTCAAGAATGCGGTTGATGGCGTTTGCGGGAAGATGTTTTATCTTGACGGTCCCGGGGGAACGGGTAAAACCTTTCTTCTCAATACGATTATTGACTGGGCTACCCTCAACGGACACAAGACGATTGTTTGTGCTTCTTCAGGTGTTGCAGCCCTACTTCTCAGGATGGGCCAAACAGCTCACTCAACATTCAAAATACCGATTGATGCACCACCTGGTGGCGAATGTACAGTGGAGGCGGATACTTTGCTTGGCGAAAAGTTAATAGCTGCGAGACTGATCATTTGGGATGAGATTGTTACAATTCACAAGAATTCAATTGATGCGGTTAACAAGTCCCTGAAGAGGATATGCAACTCGCAATCAGAGTTTGGTGGTAAAATCATTATTTTCTCGGGAGATTTTCGTCAAATACTTCCAGTCGTCAAGTACAACGAACATCCACCGGCTTTTGCCGCGACATTAAAGTCTTCGAAGATCTGGCCGGCAATTAGACAATTCAAGCTCACTGAGAATATGCGCCTCGCCCAAGCAATAGGTGCTTCCTCAGATGACAGAAATCGAGTATTCGCGAGGGCTTTATTGATATTGGGTGAGGGGAAGAAACAAAAGTCAGATTTCAGTATTGTCACACTGAATCACATGAATATCAAAGCGTTGAAATCGAAAGATGAGATGCGACAAGAATTAATCAAATTCGTCTACGGTAATCTTGCGATTCAGTTTCAAAAGGCCGATGTTGAAAAGATTGCTTACCTCAATGAACGATGTATTTTAGCTCCACTCAATAGGGATGTGAAGAGGCTGAATCTAGAAATATTATCCCGTCTCCCTGGCATTACATCAACCTTAAGATCAATCGACACCCCCGACCCTGACGGCGTTGGAAGCTTGCCCGAAGAATGCCTCAACAAGCTCAGCATTGGCGGGTTCCCAGATCACGAACTTCATATCAAGGTTGGGATGCCTCTGGTAGTCTTGCGTAACATGGACATCAAAAATGGGGTTTGTAATGGGTCTCGGATTATGGTCATTGATTATGGTATTGGGTACATTGTTGGAAAATTGATGTCTGGGCCATGTGCGGGTAATGAGATCACCTTACCTAGAGCAAAACTTCACAACAAGTCCAACGCTCGGTCAGGCCTGTCATTTTTCCGTTATCAATTCCCAGTCGCCCCAGCTTATGCAATGTCGGTCAATAAGAGTCAAGGGCAAACTCTCGGCAAGGTTGGAATTTATCTCGAGACAGATGTTTTCTCACATGGCCAACTTTATGTTGCTGTTTCCCGGGTGTCGGATGTTGAGAATCTTCTTATTGTGAGGCCTGCAAATCGGTCGGGTATCCTGAATGTAGTCCACAGAAGCCTTTTCAAGACAGGGAAGAAGCGTGAGTTTATTAACTTGATCGATCCTTGGGATTGGACTAACAGTCAACTTTTTCAGGTAAATCAAAACTTAAGGCTAGCATCAATCCTCGTGGGCTGGAAGTGGAATAAATTGGTGTATCATTTTAGTGTCTATGGGGGTCTTCACCTTCTTGGTTTTTTGGGTTGTCAGTGGTGTGCAGGATGACTGACCTGCCAGGACGGGGTATTTTTGGCCTTTTTCGTCACTTTTATTGTAGTGTTGATTTGTGGAAGACTTTTGCACATTCTCTGTGAAAGTAAACAGTAAAT